AGGACTGGGCCCAGCACTGATCCCTGGGGGACACCACTGGTGACCGGCTGCCAGCTGGATGCAGCCCCGTTCACCAGCACTCTCTGGGCCCGGCCCTCCAGCCAGTTCCTGACCCAGCACAGAGTGCCCCTGTCCAAGCCATGGGCTGCAGCTTTTCCAGGAGTATATTATGGGAGACAGTGTCAAAGGTTTTGCTGAAGTCCAGGTAGACACATCCACAGCCTTCCCCTCATCCACCAGGTGGGTCACCTGATCATAAAAGGAGATCAGGTTGGTCAGACAGGACCTGCCCCTCCTAAACCCATGTTGGCTGGGTCTGATCTCTTGTCCATCCTGTAGCTGCTGTGTGATTGCACACAGGATGATCTGCTCCATAACTCTGCCAGGCACTGAGGTCAGGCTGACAGGCCTGTAGTTTCTAGGGTCAGCCTTGCATCTTTTTTTATGGATTGGGGTGATATTTGCCAAATTCCAATCATATGGGACCTCCCCAGTGAGCCAGGACTGTTGGAAGATGATGGAGAGCAGCTTGGCAAGCTCTTCTGCCAGCTCCCTCATTACCCTAGGATGGATCCCATCTGGTCCCATAGACTTGTGTGGATCCAGATTACTCAGTAAGTCACTATTTCCTCCTGGAACTCAAGGGGGCTATTTGGTTTCCTATCTCTGTCTACCAGCTCCAGAGGCCAGTTGCCTTGAGGGCCACCTGTCTTACTGGTAAAAACTGAAGCAAAGTAGGTGTTAAATACCTCAGCCTTCTCCTCATCTCTATTAACTATGTTTCCCTCCAAGTCCATCAAAGAATGGAGGAATAGTCGAATAAAGGATGGATTTGAACTACAGGTATTGAATGGAGTTAGCACCAATTATGTGGAAACTCTTCAAGATCTTTCTGAAGAGAAAAGGGATATGTTACCATGTCTATGATAAGTAGTATCATACATGGAGAAAGAGCTTTATTTTCAGTATTCCTTTTATCTCTGTTCTGTAAAGCACAGTTTAATGTTTTCCATTTAACTTCTACTTTTAATTACGGTATCTTTTATTGCAGTAACATCTGTTAAGTCTTATATTCAAAGGCTGATCTTTCCTTGATATTTTATGAGATGTATTTGGTTTACATCCAAGCCTTTTCACCAGCAAAAGGACTGAGTTTCAGCTACATCCCAAAATGTCAAAAGTCTTTGAATTGTTTTTTGCAAAGGGGTATTCTGTAGCTTCTGAGAATTTAAGAAAACAATATATCCATGAAATATTTCACAGTGTTGTACTGTTAATTGAGAAGTGCAAGATATTAGACTTTAAAGGACCTTCATGTTTGTTTTTAAAGTATAAAACCAGCAGTTCTGCTACTTGTAGGTCTACACTCCTGTATGACCAAAAACTATCAGAAAAACTCAGTCTGTTTTTGTAGTAGTGCCTCTTGATAAGGAACACTGTAGTTGCTTTATAAAAAAATATTGCTTGCAAGAAAAATAATTGATTTACTGATTTTTTTTTGTTGCCCACATGTTCCACATGTAGTTGCTGCAATATAAATAATATTATTAAATACTAAATAGTAGACATTGGATATACTGGTTAATAAGAAGTTTTCACTTTTTATGTAATTTTTTTCTTTAATGTTGGTAATAAGTTGTGACTGGTTGTAAAAGTGGCCTCATTATTTCTCAAAAAAGATGATGCAGAAAAAAACCTGAAAACATGTAAAAATAACTCAACGAATGCTTTGCTTCCTATATAAAGACTCATGGGATTTAGTGTATTAGTTTGAATAGGCCAGTGGATTTAACCTGTATTTTAGCAAGACATTTGTTGAGTGAAATGAGTACAAAGCAAGATGACACTGATTTATGGTACATTAAGTGTTTTACTCTGGATTTTTATGTTCTAGATATTTGCAGTGATGTGCTGAATTTCCAAATAGTAGTTATGGATGGAAATTATAAAAACACAGAAAATAATTTTACGCTCTAATGTATGTGTTTTTAGTTTCTATTTATAGTGAGACTTTTCTTTCTAAATTAAGAAAAAAATAAGAAAGCTACTAGTTTGATTAAGGTAAAATAGCTGATTTTTTTAAACTGAAGAAATGCAAGATATTATGAAATTTATCTCCGCATGTATTTTACTGGTTTCCCTCTGTAGCACTCTACTCAGAAGCATGCATAAGGTATACTATTCAACACTAATTTTATAGTTCCATACATAAGTGCTTCCCTTGTTAATCTAATATTTCCAGGGAACAAAATGTTGTACATTTTGGTACTTCTAGTCTGCATTTTTTCATTATTTCACCATTTTGCTGTATCTGTTTTACAGATTCTAAAAATGGAATGGGGAGGAGAGTATTCACTTGATTCCTCCAATTTAGACTGTTTGTTAAATGTCCTTCCTGGAGAATTGGAATTCCAACAAATCCTGAGTGATGTTGATGAGAAAATAAGGAAGAACTCTTCCAGGTAAAGAGTATTTTATTTGTATCCAAAATAATAATGTAAGTCATTAGGAAGAAATGTGACTTATCCTTTCTAGTTGTAGATTAAAATTCTGATAAACATTTCAACAGTAATTTTATCTAAACCACTTGAGCATTTAACAGATTTTTAATGCCATATAATTATTGTGCTATAGTCTTTCTCTTTATGGTACTATTAACAGTTGAATCATCTTAATCTTAGGTTTTATTGCAGTAGGTGTAATAGTGAAGGAAGAAAATGTGAATTCACATGACAGTTTTGTTTCCTACAACTAAGACATAGAATTTTTATTCTATAAAAGAGCTACAGAATTTGACAAAAAGCAACATTTGAACTCAGTATGTTCTTTAAGCATTTGTAATGGAAGTGGAACAAGGAAGTAAGTTAATATACATAGAATTTCTTATGTAATCTGTTGTTTTACCTATTTCAGTTAAAATAGTGCTGCAATAGAAAGTTTTCTAACTAGAATTTGAAATATATTTCTTTGCCCACTTCTTTGTAACATACTGAGTTCCAATAATCAATGCTGTAGAAACAGTGGACTTCTGAAACAATTCATTGTTGATGTAGATTTTTTGCATAACTACAAAATAATCATCTCAAGGTTCTGTGCCTTATTTGTGGCTTAATTCTTTAATACCTTTCTAATATTTTGATTGTGAAAGATGCTCTTAAGAAAATGGACTTACTGTCCATTAAAAAAAAAAGTGCACATTCAAAGATACAACACGACATTTTGAAACTGCTCGCCCTTGGATAACAGTGCATCTTACATAGTTTTATGGTTTCAAAGAACTCCCTTCATGACTTTCGTTTAAAGAATGTATAATTTTAATGTAGCCCACATTTGTGAGAGGTCTTTGCTGTTCCCAAGCAGCTTCCTGAAGGATGGAAGTAAACCATTGCATTATCTTGCTGAAAACTGATTTAGATGATCAATTGTTATATTGGTTATGCCAGGCTGAGAGATTTTCTGGGAGGGCGGCTATTTATATTACTCTCATCTCATATTTTATTTAAAAATTTAGTGTTTTCTAAAGCACTTGTAATATTAATAATCCCAGGGTAATAAGGATATCGAAGATCTGGGAATTGTGCTGTTGTGGACCATTGCATAGTACAATTTCACATTACAGTTTTTCAGCAGTTGAGATGAGTGAAATGTAGATACTTACTCAAAGTTTAGTTGATGTCATAATGCAGTTAATTGCACAGGTAATTAAGTTTTGAGAGTCTATGGTCTTGTGTATCTGGAAAAAACAGCATCAGTATTTTTGCAGAACAGTTGTCACCTCTTCAACTACCAAATAAAAGTGATTTTGTTGTCATTATGCAGCCTAAGAGTTAGGAAGATTCTTATCAAGATGAGCCTTTAGAATTAATGCTTTACTACTATTTTTGATTTTAGTGTGTGTAAAATGTATGCTGCTTGTGGAGAAAACTGTTGGCTGTGGGAAAGCAAGCCAGTTGTCCATTCCTTTTAGTGGTACTTTACATCACTTACCATTTTATGTTACATTTTACATAAATGTCATCACAGTGTAACTGTTCTGAAGAAGGCCGATTGTCACTTATACCTAGTCCTACAAATTAGAAGAACCTTTCATTTTAAGTTTTGTAAGATCCTAATGATATTTTATCAAGGGAGACATGAAACTGAATTGTCAGAAAGAGTTTTGTATTATTTCTACTGAATTGACACCTAAAATAGTTTTTAATCTAATTTTCACAAGGAAAAACAAAAAGTAGCTCTGTAGATACCAGCTGATATTTTGCTGCTCTAATATACCAGTTTCAGAAATGGAGAAAAGTTTAAGAGAAGATAGTGACAGCAGCTGATGTGACTTTTAAATTAAAAAGAGTCCTTTTATTTCTAATATTTTAAAAGTATCATGGAATTAAATAATTTTCAAGTTATCATTGATCTTTGTGAGTGGTATGATAAAAGCAGATCTATGTGCTGTGGTGATACAGTTGGTATACAACCTATTTTTCATCAGAGAGATTTATGCTTTTATTAGACCACAGAGAATGAACACAATAGTATACAGCATATATATATTTTTAAAAATGAAACACTGTGTAAAAAATTGTCAGGCAAAAGTTTGTAAATCACTTGAATGGTCATTTATTGCCCTTCTACTGAATAGGTTTTATTAAATTGTGTGACAGGACAAATCAGATGTGCTTTTCAGCTGTTGAATTACCTTCCATGTTTTTCTATTGTACCAATTCTGTTTGGTGCTATAACAAAACAAAGGCCGTCTGTGTGAAATTGTTTTATTTGTAAATTTGGAGGTAGTAAGTGGTTCATTCACTCACTATTACATAACAGAACCCTTACTACATTTGAATGCTAACTTTATTTTTACAGCAGTTTACAGAAGCAGGTAAATATGAACTCTCAAAAATACTGTCATTGCTGTCCAGTTTTATGTAAAGTGATAGTCTCAGGTTATTCTCAAGCATGAAGTTGTATTCATCAGGACAGCCTTTTTGTCTTCATTCTTTCCCTTCACAGTTGCTTTGATTTTTACTGTTTATCAAAACTGAGTATTTGGATAATTTCTCCTAACGGGTGGTTTAAGAATTGCTAAGAGTTAATTTTTGAACAATCCACAGAACTAAACTTTCAGCTGATATTTAATACTTTAAGCTGGAAATACAGTACAGAGCTTGAAACCAAGCTTATAAGTAATTTAAGTGATTGTAAGCATGAAATGTCTTCAACTGTTGATTTTTTGTATTCAGTTTTTTCTTCAGTGAATGATTGGCTGCCTTTTAGTGGTGATAAAGCAGGAATAGATTTTATGAGGCTCTAGGACAGTGTGAGGTATTCTAGGTCTTCATCAACAGAACAATTGCTCAGAATTCAACAAAATTATTTACTAATAATTGTATCTCCACAATACACTGGAGATTATAACTTTGTGAGGCTCTTCACAAAGACTTAACTTCAATCTGTTAAACTTTCACCTGCCCTATGTCTAATTAGCAGTAATTTAGTCATCAAGGGTTTTGAAGAAGGTCTTTTTTGAAGGGCTTCAGTGAGGTCAATATTAATAAGTGTTTACAGGTTAGTTAGCTGCCACATGCATCTGCAGAATCAGATCTTTGACTGCACTGCATTGCATCTTTTTCCATATATAAATTGATAGTAATTATTAATTTATATAAATTTTAATATAAATTGTAGTAATTATTTGATAACTAACAAGACCTTTACCTTCTGAATCATAGACTGTCTGGAAAGTACCTTAGTAAGGAGGTTAGTATGACATGCTCCAGCTGTTGATCGTAACAATGCTGATTTGCCAAGAAATGCTTCCCACTTACATTACAAAAAAGGGATGGAGGAGTTTCAAACAGGTTGTTAAGTCAAGCTATCTCATTCCATTTTCCTGTGTCAGAACTGGAGTGTGTGTGGGCTCATGTGTTTTTAAACTGACATGTACTGCAAGGGTTACCTTGTTTTTAATTTTGAAGAAATTCTTGTCTTGGTCTTCTCTGGAGTTTTCAGGAAGCAGCTTATGTCACATTCCTGTTATTCAAGAAATTCAGCAAAGTCTTGAAACCTCCAACCAAAATCCCAAGAGTGGTTGAGAATTTCTAATTAGAAGTAATCGTAGAGGAATTAAAATTTTGATTTTATCAGTTTTACTCAGACCTACTATTTATCACAGCTCTTGAAAAGAATTTGACTCTTTTGGGCGAATGTAACCTGCATGCTGTACAAATATATTACTCTGGTGTTTACCTGATGTCTCAGTTTAACAAGGTTACAACTTTGAATTTAAGAAACTTCAGGTGAAAGTGTGGAAAAGGAAAAGGACAGGTCTTTACTGACAAAATCCGAATAAACAACAAATGGTGCCATCAAAACTTTCAAAAAAAAGAAACAAAACAAAGTCCCTATTCCCCAGGTGTGAGTGTGGGGGGGAAGGGCTGAAAGCAGAACTGTTCCCGGCAGCTCAGCAGTTGCTCGAGGCCACGTGAGCGACTGGTGGCTTCGCAGCCAGCAGTGAAAGAGTAATTTTTTCCACAGGCACAGTTTCAGGTCAGGCAGCTCTGATAATGCAGCCTCACCCCTAGTGCAGAATACATTGCTCCGAGATGCTTCGCTCTCTCGGAAAAAGGAGAGGGCCGGAAAAAAACCAACATCAGCAAACCACAAAAAAATCCCACCCAACTGAAAAAACAACCGAAAGTAGCTCCCGCTCTGTCCGTCGGTGGAAAACCCAATCCTCCGGACAGAGGACTCCCGAGGCGTGGCCCCGGCTCGCTCTTTCGAGGGCGCCTCTCCCTCCTAGCGCTGCTGCTCTTACTAGTGCATGCGGTTTCGCTCCGTCCCCCCGCTCCTGACTCCCTCCATTCCGGAAGACACCGCGGGGGAGGACGTGGCGGGGAGAAGGGATGGGACACCAGGGAAAAAATTCCGACATCTCTTTTCAAACCTATGACACCTGAGAATTTAGTGCTTATGAAGGTATTAGAGTAACATTACTAAAATTTTTCAAAAAATAGTAGCTGTCTGATCACTTCACTGGACTAATTGCTAGGAATAAGTAATTAAACTGAGAAAGGAATGAAATTTTTTTTCCTGTGCAGGCTATGTTGTCTTTGTGCATAATCTCTGAGCTTAGGATAGTTGTTCCTTCCTAACTTGCTAGTTGGACACCTCAGAATTTCTTAGAAATTGGCTATTTTATTGACATGCAATTTCTTTACTCCAATATTCAGTGATTATAACTGTGTCAGTATCTTAGGTTAGTTAGCTGCCACATGCATCTGCAGAAGCAGATCTTTGTACTATAAAGTATCCCATTTCATTTCGTATGAGCATATATAAGATGATGACTTTTTAACCATTGTTTGTCACTATCATGTTTTGGTCAATGGAGCTAAAAGACACACATTTTACTGCCAGTCTTCTGAAATAATTTGTTAAGGCTAAGCTTACATCTTGTGGACTGAAAATATCTCAAGCCTTTAAAACAAAGCAGTGGTTTGGTTAGAACTGGCTGTTCTTATATGGTTAAGTTGTTGAGTACATTTCTCTTTCTAAGGTCAAAAAGTTTTCACCACTCTATTTCTTAATATGTACTTTACAGTTCAGTTTTGTAAGTAGCTAAATCAGAGATATCAAGTCGTTTGTAAAGTCCTTTAACTATGTTCTGTGTCTTTGGTTTATATCCCAAGGTCCGAGAGTAAAATAAGAAGAATTTGAGAAAGTAAATTTTTTCAAGGCTTTTAGCCTGTAACTCATATTTTAAAGAATTACTGGTTTTAAAAACAAGCATCAAGACATACTTGTCTTAACAGAAGTTTTCTGAAGAGATACTGTGTTTATAGTCAGTATTGTCATCAGTTTTTTATTGCTGCTTACAAATGTTTAACTTCATTCATTCGTACTGGTCTTATTTGGAATAGAACTCTTGAGATAAAATATGAATAAAAGTTGTAGTCAAACTATGAAAAAAAGTTAACAAATATGAGGTGATAACGAAGCCTATATTACTAGCAATAGGAGCTTTACTTTCTTGCTTCCTCCTCTGCTCTTGAGGTTACTATTGTAAAGAACATTAAACATGAAAAGTAATGGCATCTATTTATGCAATTGGTTTAATGTGAGTAAGAAAACTGACATACCAGAAAGAATAATCTGTTGGTGAGATAGAGTAAAATGAAACAGCATAAACATTATAGGCTTGGAACTATATTTTTTTTTCATAATTTTATGAATCTAAAGATATACATCGTACCATGACTGTTACTTTAGATTGTCATAAGCATTGCAGGAACATCCAAGATGGTAAATAGCATTTCTTGAAAAACTTCTTTTTTCTCTTCAGGATACGGTGAACAAACCGTGTTTTGCATGTCTCTATGATATTATTTTGAGTTAGATTGTATCTAACAGTTTTTGCTAGAAAATAAGTTATTTATATATTTTGATAAGTTGCTTTTATTAACACACAGTAGTGCTGAGGCATCAGCAATGACCTCCTGGGAAATGTCCTAAATATTTACCTTTTGATAGGTAAGTTTTTGAGAAATAAAGCAAAGTATTTGTTTCATCATGGGAGAAAGTGTAACAATGAAAATGCCTGTTGGAATTATACTGGTAAATGTCTTTCTCAAGTTTTTTACTACTCAAAGTGTATAGCAGGTCCTCAGAGACACAGGTTTCCAAATGATATGACTGGTTTTTTATACCAAATGTCCTGTACCTTTAGCAGTCAAGCTTTTTAATGAGTAGTATGAAGTAGTATTATGGTAGGGCTTATATCTTCAAAACCAATGGAAACAATTGTTTCATTTATTTTAAAATTGTTCTTAATAAAAGACATGTAAACTGATTCTAAAGCTAGATATCCATGAATATGAGGATCTGAAGCATATGGAACATGAGGTTTAAAGATAATTTCACTTTATAGCTTCACAGTTTAATTTAACCAATGTCATTGTCATTTTATAGTGGCTCCATATGAAGTAAATTGAAATGGCTTGTTAGAAATTGAAAACAGTTAGGAGATCATAGTTTAGCTTATTCACGTAGTAATCTTAGGCAATGGAAGATGATACCTGTAGAGATCAACCCTCATTTTGGTACTGTACTTTTCAAAAAATGTATCCATATGACAGTGCTTACACTATCAGTTACATTATAGTTCTTAGGTTGTAACTGTTTGTCCATAGATGCAGCCAATTAAAAAGAAGTCCCTCCACATGATTAAGTTATTTGTAAAACTGTCATAACTTAAGAGTTCCTATGGGATTCTCATATTAAGACTGTCTCTCTACAGTGCAAGTCCTTACCAAATGCTACGAGTCCTTACCAAATGCTACTTCAGAAAAACACTTTCATCGTGGACACAGACAACATAAAAGAACTGTGCTTTAGTTTGTGAAAAAAAACCCACCTAAGACCCTCACCTGAAAAAAGAACGTATTTAAGTGATACCACTTCCACTTGCATAGTGATGTGCTAGTAGTACTAACCACAAATAAAGATATGGTCAAGGTACTCCTGGTGTGTGACTAAAAACTTAATTCTTGAAAAATCATTAAATCTAAAAAAGAGCCATATAAGCATAAGAATCAGATTTCTTTAATACAGAGAAAGTTTGTTTGGTTTTTTTTTTCTTTAAGCTTTTTTTATTCCACCCCTTGCTTAGTAGTTTGGTGACTGCTTTTTTTTCCTGTTTGTGTCTGAACAGTTCTGCGAGTTCAAAAAAAAAGGTTGAATCATAAACATCAGTGGAAGAAAAAAACAGAGGGCTCTTAAATTTGCACTCCCTTTGTATATATATAGTATCAGTTGAATCATCTCTTTTGATGCCTCAGTTTGCTAAAAAAAGAGAACTACTTAACTGCACTGAACTTTAAAAAAAATTGCAATTAATGAAAAAGTATTATTGGGGAAAAAAGGACTTCAGCAATTTACATGGCTTTTTTAAAATAGTACTTTTAAAACTAAAATTAATGAAATACATTAAGCATATTTTTTCACATCGAAATTACATATTTTTTCACAGTTACTAAAAGTTCAGCAAATTTCTTTACTCAACCAAAGAAATCAGTCTTGTTCTCTCTACATTGATATGAAATTATAAAGTTTTAAATACCCAGTGAGAATAATTTTAATCATATTTAGCAGAAGTCTTTTACTTAAAATGCCCACCTTCTAAACCCAAATAATACACATTTTTATTTTTTGAGAAGTAACAGATTTCTAAATATTTAATTTGTGTGATTCATGTGAAGCAGTAAGCATGTGTAGTTAACCATGTTCTTGTATTACGAAGTGTTGACAAAAATCTTAAAAAGATGTAGCAGCGGCTTTGAGATCTTGTTTATCTACACTATGCTATATGCTGTAAGTAAACAGGATGAAAATATTTTATTCAGTCAAAAACAGTTTTAGTCCTAATTAATTGTTTAAATTTTGGGGATAAAAGGATTAAATAAAATGAACACACTTAACATGATTTATGTGGGGGTTTTTTGGGGGGATGGCGTGGTGAAGTGGAGGGGAAGCACTGAAATCTATCCATTTAATCCCCTTATCAGTACTGGGGCAAATAACCAAAATGTCTGGTCTTGAGGAGGCTGTAGCCTATTCATAGCTTGTCATTTATTAGCTTGCACACAGATTCATATGTCAAAGATGAGTGTAAAAATTGGCTTGTAGTTGTAGCAGATTGGCACACAACACTAGTGACCTTTACGTTACGCAATGTTGTAATCTATTTGGGTATGTTTAAATGAGACACATCAGCACACCACAGTAAAAGGCTTTGATAGTGTCCCAGGAGTCAAGGTGTATGAAGAAGGTGTTTAGTTTCAAAGTCCTGAGAACCGGCTTCACACGTTAAAAAGAAACTTTGCCAACCTTTTATCAAGTTTAGAATTGGTATTCATGGCTAGGTAATCAAACCTAGTTCTGCATAGATCTAGTCAATACTATTTTGCTAACTGAAACTATATTAAGCATTGCTTTTGAAAAAGAATGTAGTTAAGAACTAGTGAAAAGTTGTTTTTGTAGAAAATATATAGAGTTAGATTGTTTCTGGATTTTTTTGTTTGGTTTGGTTTTCACGTAAGCGTCCACACAAATAGAAATAAAATCATTCTGGATATTCAATTGTTCTTGTGATCTTTGCAACTGAAATTGCTGTAATAACCTACCAAACACATCTGGTTTCATAAATAGGGTTATGATTCTAGATGAATGTTAAGGAGTGGATCAGCTCCTTGAAAACAAACGCTCTTTCAAATATTCTAATGACAAAACAGGAAAGAAAAGACCTGCTCTCTCAGCACAACTGACTCTAAAATTCTTTTCAACATTTTCTGTGATCTCAGTGGGTCTTTAGGAAGTTTTTAATATATGTTAGGTTTTATAAAACAACCGCTGATTGCTAAAGGAGCAAAATTCAGTTTATAGTCTCTGCTTTAGCGAATAAAGCACCAAAGACCAGATCTTAGGTTGGATGGTGTCTTATTCATTAACTACCTTATTAAAAAGAATAAGATTTTTTGAGAAGGGAGGCTGTACTTAGTCTTGCTGAGAATGGTATAGTCATACTGGAAGGAAATTTATTTTAACTCTAGCTCAACTGTACTTAAATGTTAATCCTGCAAATTCAGGCCTTATTTTGTGAGAATAATTTAATTATAAATAAGAAAGGCTAGTGTTACATTGCTTTTACATAGTTTTTATTCTTTAAATACAGAACATATAAAATGCTTTTATCTCCACACAATGAAGAAAAATCCTGTTCTTTTTTTGTTTTGTTTTGTTTGTGTTTTTTAGCATAGAAAAGTGTCTTAAAGACCTGCAAAAAGAAGTAAATGAAATATATACTGATGAAATTCTACAAACCACAGCTGACTGCATTCAGTGGCTAAATAACTGCAATTTTAGTTCACTCAGACCTTCTTCTACAGACCATGGAGAGCTGATGGAGTTCCTTAGGACCCTGGTAAAAATTGTTTATTAAAGACTATGTTTGGAAAGTTGGTTATATGATTGGAGGTGGGAGTGTGGATGGTTCAATTAGTTTTCTCATTTTGGTCTTCACTGTGGTGATGACAGTTCAGAAATTGTATTATAAGGCTTAGTTTTGTTTTCGTGTCTGCAGCAGGGTGTTATGTTACCTTTCGATCATGCCTTAATTAGACAAACTTGGGACAAAATCTTTTCACAGATACTGCCGTATGTTCAGCTCTGCTAGGATTGTTTCATAAAACACGTTGGTAAATAAACACTGGAAGTTACTGTCTGTACTGAGGCTGTTAGTGTTACTGCATATTCTTCACTTGTTTCAGTATGAATTTAACTCATCTGGTGTGCATTATTATCCTTTATGTATTATTTAAGCTTAAACTTCCTACCTTGTATCTGGCCAGAGGCATAGGGGGTATAGATGCCCCATCCCTGTAGACGTTCAAAGCCAGGTTGTACTGGATCAGCCTGATCAGTTTGAAGATGTTGCTGCTCATTGCAGCAGGATTGTACTAGATGACCTTTAAAAAGTCACTTCCAATCAAAATGATTCTATGATGCTACTCTTTTTAATTAGAAATGTTGGAGCTGCATCCGTTGTCCTGGCAGGTTGTACAACTGGATGTAACCAGAAATCCGCTTTCACTTCAATAAAAAATTCCATTATTTTAGAGAGCATTTTTTTCTGAAATTTTTATTAAAAATTTACATCTGAATATATGAGTGGACATGGAGGTCTGGAAAATTGACTTGGCTAGTTAAGTGAAGGATGATACCACAGTGTATGAAAGCCTGCAAGATTGTATAAAATATATATATATGTGCATGTGTGATATGGTGTACATATATAGAAGTGTCAAAACAAGTAAACAGTATCCAGTTGATTATTCTTTGTCACTTCTGTGTTGTGATTTAGACCAGAAACACCTTTAGGCTAAGATTAGCTGTAATGGCAGAGGAAAATTGCTGTAGAGGAGTGTTTTCTCTGCTAGAGCACGAGCTTCGTCAAATCACCTCCTGTTTTTTTAACACTTAGAAATGGTTGTTGCTCTTTCAGTCGCCTATGAATCTACTGGATATTGAGCTGTGTCAAATGAGGAAGTAATCTCTACAAACACCAGGTCTTCAATGTTCATGTGGTGAAGAAGTGATTTTGTTGCTTTCTGACACAGCTGATCAAAGGAATGTTACTGTTAATTAACCACGCCACTCGAAGGTTTCAGAGACTGCAACATATCATACTTGATCTAGATGAAATTAGAGAATCCCAGAAAATGCTGACCCATTAAGTTTATGACTTAGAAAGTCTTTTCTTGCTCCTCTTAGTCCAGTTAGATCCTTACTTAATTCCCTCAGCAGGTGGCATGGCAATGATGACTTACTTGTGTCCATTCCCTGCTTTCTTCCTTCTCCAGGGTCTATTCAAGCCATATACCTGAACACCAGATGGCGGCATTTGTTTGGGAAACACTGAAATGTCCCCATCTCTGAAATATCTTGCACAAAATATGCTTTCTAGTTCTTCATCTGCCCAGGACCTTACTAACAGCATGACAGTCTTGCTGTGAGCTGTAGAATCCAGTTAAGCCTTGAGAATGGATCTGTGGCAGGCTGCTAAACAGACAGTATAGTGTGAGAAGCCTGAAAGTCTCAGTTCTGCACAGTTTATCAGGAAAACATTTTTGGAGCTCAGGAACTTGGGCATCACTACTTCCAGACTCATGGCTTCTTAGATAATTCAGGCTGTTGTGTAGATGAGACTACAGATGAAAAGTGTATCTGTATTAGCATAGACAGTCCCTCTGTAAGAAGCTATATTCACAGTAGATAATCTTTAGTTCCTAAAGCAGGTCTGCAGTAATTTATTGTCAATAATATACAGCATTAATGAGATTATTATTATCTAACCTTTTTTAAATGTATCTCTCCACACACTGAACTAATTACTCCTTTAATTTCTTCTTGCATGCTTTTAATTAAGTATATATAATACATCTTCAGTAATAGCAACCTTCCTTCTATTTCAGGACAATATTCCTATTCGTTGTTATCCCTTACTATGTGTTTTGTTTGTTAAGAATTTTGTTTATTTTTTGAGCTGCTGGAACAGTGCAAAATTCTCCCTGTGCTTTGGTTGGGGTGCTGTATTTAGGTTTGTTGTTATTCTCATGCATTTGTGAACTCTTAGGAAAATACTGAGTTTCTTCATGAAGGCTGAAAATGTTAATTGTGTGAAATTTTGTCCTTCTGTGTCCTGTCTTGTAATGCTAAATATTTAAAAGCTAAATATGTGCACAAGCACATCTTTATTAAAGTCTGTTCTTGCTAAAATAATGACAAATTCTTTTTTTAACAAAGTCTTAATCTTATTGAATTTGTATATTGATATTGTAGGTCTATAGTAGGTAGTAGTCCAGTTGGTAGACTGTAACTGGGTTTTGTATATTATTGTCACTAACTTTATGTGCTTACAAGGGAGCTTTTCATTTTTCTCCAAAACATTGGATACTAGTTTGAATCTTTTTCTCTGAAACAGTTTTGCATTATCTGTTGAAGTATTTTTACAGAGAGACTTTACAAAGAGACTTGATGACACTGTTTTCAGAGCTTGAAAGTTCACTTCAAGGACTCTTTTTTCTATGTAATAGTACTTCTAAAATGGCATCTGCAAGCTCCCTATTTTAATGCCTTAGTTTAAATTGCAAAGGCCTTGGAACAATCCTTAGATATATAAAAATATTTCTGCCTTAAGAAACAGCAGTAGGGATTTGCTTAGAAGATATTTGGATTCATCATCCAACAAGATCAGTTACATTCACTGTTTTCACAGCTTCTCTTGTTTTGTACATTTCACAATATAGTATTTGATAATGATTTAAAAAAAAGTACTATTTAAACTCCAAAAGTCTGCCTGTGAAGACAGTGATTAGTGATCAGGGTTTTGTTTTACACTCTGAAACATATTTTCTTTGGGGCCACGAAACTTTATAGAATATTTCAGTAGATAATAAAAGAGAATCAGATCAGTGTTATGTATATGCCTATTGATATGTATGATTTAAGATTTTAACTAGTTGTGCATATTTCTATTATGTGCACATTCTTTTATAGGACGATATTTGACTGATAATTTCCTTTATTATTCTGTTTTCCACATGTCTTTTCTGCTTTCAAGTAAAAAAAATTTTAGGTTTCATTCTGAAATAAAGATCTAAAATGGAAGAAAAGCAGGTAGTCTATTAATTTTAAGACTTTCCTTTATAAGAGGAATTATGCTTCTTGTCTAATATTCAGAATTAGGTACTGTGGTGGAAGTATCTTATTTTTTAATTTTTATCATGAAACACTTCAGAATAGAGGGCAGTAAGAAGATTAAAGTCTTCTTTTCCTGTATAAGAATGTAACAGTTTTGTAACATCCAAAACAAAGAATATGAGTTCTGATTTTGAAAATTTTTGTGACTCAAAAGCATAATTATCTATGGAGAAAGGCTTGCTATGGTGGAAAACCTGAAGATTTTTATTTGGAAATTGTTGTATTTATTCAATATAACGTTCAAATTTGAATTATCTATCTCTCAAAATGAGAACAGAAATAAAACTAATAATTTCCTCAAATACTACAAGTTAAATAAATCAGTAATTTTGAAGGTGGGAAATTGCCAACAGTTTCTTTACCAGCCTTACTTTATAGGATGGAGTACAGCAAAGGACCCAGATAAAGGATATGAATGGAAATAATTCCCCTGGAGTGGTTTGTCACAGTGCTTTTCTCTGTTGGAGAGAAGCAATGGAAGGTGAGGGAGCAAGTGAGAGGGCTTCTAGATCCTTATTCACTCAGGGCTTGCCAACTGAAAATTAGGAGCAGCAGCAATTTCACTCACTTTTCTTGTTACTGTGACAGCAACACCGAGCTGTGACGAGAGGACCTGCTATTTGCTGCACAACTTCTTGAGTTTGAAGCAGCTCTAAGGTCAGAAATTTTGGTCCTGGACCAAGAGAGAGCTCTTCAGATTTGAATGAAGTAGGAACAGCATATGCATCCATGGGATTTCACCTGCTTTGTTAACTGATTTCCTTCTCCGCCCCATATAGTGCAGATGTATATGGAGATTGCTATATTGTTTATGTATCAGTCTGCATCTTGGTTTGATGGGATACACAGCTTCTTATTCTTCTGTCCTGTGTGATCTAAGCTTCTTTAATTCTTAACAAGTTTTCAGTTTTAGTTCTTTAAGGGGATCCTGGGAAGATGATTTTATCCTTAGAATGGCCTTTTTGACAGTTGCCTACTGAGCTATAGAAAGGGACCTGTCATTATCTGTGTAAATCCTAAACAATTTTTCGTAAAATTTTCCTCCAAATATGTGTGTGTGACCAGAATAAACAGGCTGTCACAGGTTTCCCTTGAATTGTGGTCTAGAATTTCATTGAGAAAAGAGGTTGGGGATATAAGAAAGATGTAAAGAGGAATATGAGTTATTGGTAGAGGTAGACAACGAAATTAATTGGCACATAAATCCTGTTTTCCACGGGTTTTGTAACTTCTGTTGTTTATATAGCAATTTATCTTATTTGCTGTTAAGGCAATTAGTATTGGAAACAGTTTTTGCTCTAGCATGAAGCTGTTCATTTAATGAACCAGAATTAATAAAACATGATTAAAATGCTGTCTGGTTTACCTTTTTTAGCAAAGCTTGCTGAAGAATGAGCAAAATCAGGAAGAAATGGTACTTCACTTCCTTCTGGATCTCTCTAGTCAGTGTGGCGTCTCATTTCCCTGCACTCCGAGTGGGACATCTTTTGAGTTAACATCTTCTCTTCATACCATTGAGGATGATTCAGCTATGGATGTGAAATCTCTTTGGGATGATGTGAGATTGCATCTTCGACAATTTTTAGTAAATAGACTTCAAAGTCAAGAAGAAACAAATGCTACTGCTTTGCAACAACAAATGGAGTTTAAAACTCAGTGCATACAGCAACTTTTGTTTCTTTATCCTGAATCAGAAGTCTTAACAAAGTATCAAAATATGCAGAATAAACTGGTTAGCAATCTTCTACAGAATTGTATTTTGTCTAGTTGTGGTGAAACAAATTTTGATAAGGTAGTTCATGGTTACCAAAGTTCCATACCCACATTGTGCACAATGATAAAAGAGGATTTGTATATACTAAGTGGAACTATTGATCCTTCTTCTTCATTGAAATTTATTAATGAAACTTACCTGGATACCATCACAGAAGAAATGACAGTTCTTCTTGAAAGACTTTGTGAGCTGCAGTTCAAAGAAAATGCTCTACATATAGTTAAAGCAACCAAGATTTCAAAGAAGCGTAGAGGAACGGTTCACGCTGTGGGTTAGTAGTTTTATTTTATGTTCTTTATTATGTTACTTTTTTTCCCCCAATATACTTTATTATTTTCTAGGAGAGAGAGACTTGAAAATATTAATTAGAGCTTTATGTTTTAACCATGCCACTGCAGTCGAATTCTAGCCTATGTCAGAATTGTGATGAAAAAGGTTTTAAAGTATGAGAAAGTAACCTACGTAACTTACAAAACCCCATTATAATTCATTGGATAACACTGTCATGTCATAGTATTTTTTTTTTAGCTTAACTTATTCCAACTGCTGAAATATATAATTGAATAACAACTATTTACTCCAGGTTTAAATATATACAAACTCCTCTGTCTTTTTCCCCTACTCATTTCAAATTGTCAGACACATAATGGAGATTATTTGGAAAACTGTCTAATAATGTGTCCATGAAACAGACACAGCTTCATACATCAGGGCTAACCCCAAAAATTACTATGCAGATTTTAATTCTAAAACAAACAAACAAATATTTATGCTTTCTAATTGTGTGAAAGTACAGTAAGTTGAAGCTAATACCACCTGGTAACTTCTTCTTGTTCCAAGGAATAAAAAGCAGGAAAGGAATCTGTTACTGATGTAGTATATTTTGTACTTTTTTTCTTTTTCAGTTTGTAAATCTGATGTGCTAATTTATAAGGGGAAGAATCAGCACTTTGGAAAAAATCATACGAAATGGAAACTTTCATAACATAATTGCGTGATTGTATGTAATTGCTTTTTCAATACAGAGTTTTGATCACTCCTCTGTGCAGAAGCTATTTGTTTAAAGCATAGCTTTCCATAAAGGTGATTTGCAGACAAAATACTAAAAGCTTAGAATCACATGAAAAATATAGAAACAGAAGATCTTAGGGTTGTGCAACATACAAATAGGATAAATGAGGTGATGATTTGTCAGGTTAATGCAGAAGAAAATTGCGCTCTTGTGAGTTTTAAAATCATCATATATGTTAGTGTAAGTCAAATAGAAATTATAGTGGAAGAAATGCAGAGTTAATTTTTCAACAAGAGATGAAACATGGAGGAGTATGTGGAACATATGAAGGACAAGGTAAGGAAAAAGACATGCAGACATATAAGTTGAAAGGACAAGAATTTCACCGTAAAGTTGACAAATTAGTGGGATGGAGTATAGTGTCAGAATACTGTTGAGGTATGGAATAAATAAGAAGAAATATGTCTTTGAATTACATAGTGAGATGGGAGTCAATGAAAGAACTCACTGACAAAAAACATAAAAAAGACCTATTGGGAATGGGAATTCTGTAAGTAACTTTTAATTTCAGTCTCAAAAGAGCTCTCAAAGATAGGTAAGTTCAGGTATCTCCATTTTACATCTAAAACGTGGAATTTAAAGTGACACTAAGGATGTCTCTAAAACACCCACAAATTAACTCTTTCTGTATTACAAGAAGGAAAAGTCCTTCAAATCTATTAATACAGTCCTTTATCTGCTTAATTTTTTTTTTGCCAAAAGATGTGCTTTGACAAATTATTGTGCCAGCACATCTATCAGTATAGATTTCTACTGCACATTTCTTTTGTATATTCAGAAAAGCAGAGGAAGGTGAAAATAAAGTAAATCTTAGGAACATGCTTACAGCTTTAAAATATTTTCTGCAATTAATTTGAATTAAAACCCCCCCAGCATTTCATAGGTATTAGAGCAGATTTTAATTTTTATTGAAAATGCAGTAAATGTCAGATTTGCACATACAAAAGCTGTCCTCTTAGCACCCATAGAGTGTGTTTTGAAGTGCTGTTCATTAATATCATTTAATACTCAGAGTTACTTTCTTCAGGGCCTGTTGTGCTCATGCCCTCATATTATTTTACTTCAAGAAGTTTGTATGGGAGACAGGCATAGATTTGCCTACAGTCTTACTAGTTTTCTGCAGAATCAGACTGCTCTAGATGATGTATGGTTATAGACTGCAGACAGCCAAACTGTAAGGCACCAGTAGTGAAGTCAGCAGGCTAGAGCAAAATAGGAAGTCAGAGTTATTTGGTTTGGGTATAGTTTGTTTTTTTCATTTTGTGGACATATCATAGCCTATTATTAATCAACTCAAGCAAAAAAATTTCTTTGTATCATTGCTAAAACAATTATTAATGAATAGTTTATTCTATATGAGCTCATATGTGAAGAGTCTTTTCTGGAAAGAGAATATACTATTTTTGTATCATGCTACTTCAGAAAAGGGCATTTTTCCCTTTAGAATTATGGTGTTCACAAGGCAGTTCACACTGAAATAAGTCTTTGGGGAAAAAAAAATTCTACGGACTAACTGTTTTAGGAGTTTTGAAATGGTAGACAAGTTCTTAATGTCAAGTAGCTTTTCCTGCTTGGAAGTTGTATTAAATTCTGATACCTTTTCTACCCTCACAGAAATGAGAGTGCAAGTCTGTATTTTTCAGTAGTTCAAGTTAAAAGACAGCTTTAATAGATTGCCTTGACAGTGATACCCAGTTTTGCCAAGTATGAAAAAAACCCTCATGCTGTAGTATGGAGGGACAGGGAAAAAGAAAGGAGTTTTTTTTCTTAGCTGATAGACAGTTATACCAATGTGTTTCTTATTTTTTGATTAGAGGTCTCTGCCCTCTGGGAACCACCAAACCAGCACATTTCAGAACAGCGAAATAATTTAATCTAGTGCATTCAATTGGGACTGTTATCCCAGAGGTGATAAAAAGGCTTGTGTTTGCTCAGTCCACCCTCAGGGTAATGTGGTTTTTGGTTGATTGTTTTTTGTTGTGGTTTTTTTCATTAAGACTTGCTGTAATGAGTCTTACTATGTAGCAGAGAACAAAAATAACAGAAAGTAAAGAAACAGTACCAGAACATCAGAAAACTTTCTATACATTCTGCTGGGAAAATACAGGTAGTCTATAAAAAGCTTTAACAGAGTTGTGAATCTTTAAAATATTTCATATATAACAATCTATTTGTGAAGTAAGGAAATAATGTGTTTTTTTTTTTTTTTCATATTGCATTAGAACAGTTATTTGTGAAGTACTGTAAAAAGATTGTATCCATTTATCAGGGCTGAGGAAAGCACGGTTTGGGAGAGAAGCTGTCAAAATGGCATGTGAAAAGAGGCAAATTTTTTGGAATTTGGCATCTTCAATTGCCAACTATACTGGAGGCAGGTGTTTTTGTGTTTTAACTTGCTCCTGTTCCCTGTTATATCTGTGACTCTCATTACATTTAACAGTGCAGGGTTCAGCCATAAGTATTTGAGCTAAATTATTGTAGGAGTTTTTTATATAACATGAATTATGATTTCTATATATATTCTCAGCACATAATCAGTGTTTCCAATGTACTAAACTAATATTTAAGGAACGTTTCTCAACACCCCCTAAAAAATATTTTGGAGCTTTTAGGGGATTTTGTTGTTTCAGACTTCCTATCATTTTAATCATATGTCTTTCAGAAGTTTATGTAATGTTACGGTAAATAAAAATATACTAAAAACATCTGTTAACATATTTAGCATGGAAAGAATCACAGTTGGTTTTCAGCTTATCTCTTATGGTTTTTTGCTTCAATTTCCAATATGATATTTCTTAGACATTATTTGCAGTAAGTCTATTAAATGTGTATTGTACTTTTACCTTTTGAACCTTTTTTGTGCTCCTCTGTTTACCAAAATGTTAAGCTTGTTTAATCAGGCATTACTAACCTATCTTAATTCTTCATCTGTTAGATGAAGAAACAGCTACTCTTACAAATGATAAGACATCTGCTAAAGAAACTTAAACCCCATGAAATTATGCGCAATTTATGTATTAGTGGAAGGTTTTCTTTTGTTTATTTATATAATTTTATATATAAACAGAGAGTGTAAATACATATGTAGACTACTTAACTCATTTTTTTTTTTATTTTTAATTTCCTGTGGTTAAAACTAAGAAGAGATTAGAGCTCTGAGTTTCATCTTTTCTGACGTATTCAAAATCATTGGCTTAATATTTTCACAAACTTTTCAGAGATGCCTAAACATTTAAAATCCCAAATGAAACTTGGTTTTAAAATCTGAGGCAATACAGAGTGTGCTCTTAAATATCACTAGATCATTATTTTTAAGGAAGTATTATTGCAAAGTAGAGGTATATTTTTAACTACGAAGTCATTAAACCACCTTCAGAGATGTATTTTAATATTTTACACTTTTACTGCAGTATATCATCCTGTTATTTAAGTGTCCAGCAGACCTCCTTTCTCTTTTCCTATTCCAGAATATAACCAACTTCCTTTGTATTCTAAAGATATATTCAAATGCAAACTGTAATTTAAATTATGATATTATAAATTTATTATCTTTAACTAATCTTGAGTGCCTACAAAAAATACTGTGGTTGTGGAACCTAATATGAATATGGCGTATATCTAAACTTCAGCAAAGCCTTTGACACTGTCTCCCATAATATACTCCTGGAAAAGCTGCAGCCCATGGCTTGGACAGGGGCACTCTGTGCTGGGTCAGGAACTGGCTGGAGGGCCGGGCCCAGAGAGTGCTGGTGAACGGGGCTGCATCCAGCTGGCAGCCGGTCACCAGTGGTGTCCTCCAGAGATCAGTGCTGGGCCCAGTCCTGTTTAACATCTTTATGGATGATTTAGATGAGGGGATTGAGTCCATCATTAGCAAATTTGCTAATGATGGAAGGCAGGAGGGCTCCGCAGAGGGACCTGGATAGGCTGGAGAGTTGGACTGACTCCAGTGGGATGAAGTTCAACAAGGCCAAGTGTCGGGTCCTGCATTTTGGCCACAACTACCCCCTGTAGCGCTACAGGCTGGGCACAGAGTGGCTGGAGAGCAGCCAGGCAGAAAGGGACCTGGGGGTGCTGATTGACAGGAGGCTGAACATGAGCCAGCAGTGTGCCCAGGTGGCCAAGAAGGCCAATGGCATCCTGGCCTGCATCAAAAACAGTGTGGCCAGCAGGACTAGGGAAGTGATCCTTCCTCTGTA